AGTTATGGGTAAAATTTCATATCTTTATATTTAAAACTGTTGTAAACAAAAATAGTTATCTCCTTGTACTAATTCAAAAAAAAATGTTGCAAAAGAAAAACAGTTACGAGTGCAAGCTTATATCGAACCTATTAAAAGAAAAAACAGTTGCAAAATGAGTTATAGACGATACACAAACACATGTGAATTGTTATGAAAGTTAAATGTAAAAACTTTCTTCAAAACATTGTTAAAGAAAAACATGTGAAAATTCATATCTCTCTTTTGTATATTTACACCATTATGAAGTTGAGACGTCTTCTTCATTAAGTGTCGTTCATAAAAGGGCCCTCTTTTATAATTCGTGCTTATTCAAAAAAGTCACGGAGCATTGAAGCATTTTTAATGCAAAGTTAAAGGGTGAAACAAAAACCCAAACATTAAAATAGGCAGAAAATAAAGCCGAAATATATATATAAAACTTTGCAAACATAAGGCAAAGATTTGTCTTCAAACCCCGAAACAAGACAGGGGTAAACCAACCGATTATTGACGAAAGGAACATAAGCGACGGAGTTATCATCTGAATATCTAAGTTTTGCACTCTTTTTTCCTTCGTCCGGTTTTTGTCCCTATTGGGTTTTTCTGGCAAGGTTTTTAATGAGGCAGAGGCAAGGATGAAAAGAATAAAATTTTCCACTTCCTGGTCACATCATAGTGAGTAATCGGAAAGTGGGGGGACTATCTGTATTAGTAAAAATGAGACTCGCCATGTGGGTCTATTAAATGGCGACATGTGTCAGTAAAGTTTGAAGAAAAGTGAAGAATGACACGTAAAGATAATATGTGAAACACCCCTGGGACCGAACATACTCATACCGTGCCTGTTAGCCCCGGAACTAATCATCATGAAATAGCCCAGATCAGGCGCGGGAGAATATCTCATAATTACAAATGATGAAGGAATAAATTAATCCCGGATTATTTGGGATTTACCATCATTATACCATCAGTTACAAATCAATTATTAATAAATACAATAAATGATTGTAACGGTCAGAACAAGGCAATCAATTACGAGATTGACTCAACAGGCACAGGATTGACTCGACAGGCACAAGATTGACTCAACAGGCACGAGATTGACTCATTAATTACGGAATTAACTCATCAGTTATGGAATTAACTCATCAGTTATGGAATTAACTCATCAGTTACGGAATTTCAGCATTTACACAGCTGTTACAAGTCTTCCAAAAGTAATGGATGGATTGAGTAAGTGCTCATAATGGACCCAAAATTCAAGGAGACTAGTTACTTAGATTTAGCCCTATAAATAGACATATTTTTACCACCATCAGGGAAATCTAATTTTCTTCTCTACAATTCTATACATTGTAATTCATAGCATCTTGCTCCCAAGTTAGCTATAATTCGGCCCTTCAAGCTCTGTTCGGCTCATTATCCTATCAAGGATCATTCAATAAGAATTCTTTCTTCTCTGCTTTATTTTTATTATATTATCTGTCATTGAATTTATTTTTCACTTCTCTATCACATTGTATTAACAAAATTTTATATCTTCCGGATTGAATCGGTTGCTTGTGGCCCGTCATATAAAATTATTGCTTTGACTTTGAAAACCATTTTTTGGGATATATATATATATATATTCACTTAAATTCTCTATATCACTTTTAAATTAGATAAAGATGAAAAATCATGCTTCTTTTACATCCTTTGCACTTGTACCAAACAACCAACAAAGTAAACTATGAATCCTTTATGCGAATTAAAAAATAAATAAACTATTCTTCTTATCTTCATCCATTTAAACAATACATAATATGAAAGAACTAGAAAGTTTTAAGTTAGCTCTTCATGACGTAATTTTTAAATTTTGTTAAACATTTGAATATTAGTAAAAGATCATTCCATAAATTTAAAGTGATCCTTTATAACCGCATGCACGGTAAGTTCACCAGTGTAAGGAAAAGCAATGAACAATCTTTGAAAATTATCCACTGCCCTCAACGTTCTCCGTTCAAACATTTAGAGCCTGTTTGGCAAGGCTGTCAAAATTATTTATTTGAAAAGTGTTTTTTGAAAAAAATACTTTTGAATAGTAATAATTTATATTTGGTCAATTCATTGAAAAGTGATTTTTGCAATATTTGAAAAATAAATTTTATTGGCTAATATTTTCAAAAAGCACTTTTGAGTGTCAAATTATGAAGAAAAAAAAGACAATAAAAATTTGCTTTAGAATTAGTATTATTTAAAATAGAGAAATAAATTTTAAATTTATTATTTAATTAAAATAAATATAAATATTAAAGATTTAATCATATAAAATATAATTATCCAACACAATAATAATATCTAATATCTTGCATACAAAGAAGAGACCTATTTATAATAGATACTATTCCAAAGAGGAATAGGCGAAGGAATAAAATACGGTGAAAATGAAAAGGAGAATAAAGGGATTGCAGATAAAAAAAAAAAAGGAAAGATTAAATTAATGAGAGATAATTTGAGAAATATAAATTTATACGATCAAACCTTTCTATAACAGTATCGTTTGTTCTAGTATTTTGTATTCTTATAATTATACACCTATAACAGCATTTGACATTTAAATATTTTTTTGTTGTTAAATAGAAAAAATTATCCAAAAATCAATATCTATTTTTTTTTATTATTATACATAAAAGATAAAAAATTATTCAAATTAAAAATCTCAAAGATATGCATATTTCACTAATTAAATATTAAAAAAACCAACACATTATTAATAAATTCATAATTACACGTATAAAGCTTTAAACTCTAAAGTACATATTTTAAAGCTGCTATAAAAATAAATTCTTCCAAGATTGATAGAAGAACTTTATAATTGTAGTTTCTTTCATAGATTTCATTATCTTATTAGCAATATAACTTTTGAATTGGCAAGATTTGTGTCCAAACTTTCAGCAAAAGAGTATCTGATAGTTTTCCCTTGAAGGAAATCATCTGCAGATCTTCAAATCATATATATTATGGAAGATGGAAACTTTATTCAATAGAAAAGATTGTGTGTAGATTTTCAGAATTATTATTAGTAATCTTAGAGATTCTACATGGATTTTATAAAGAGGTAATTTTATGAAGAGTGTTTTGCTATAAATATGGTTGTTGCTGTTATAGGTAAAAAAAACTATTATTGAGGGATAAAATATGAACTAGAAAAACAATTCTGAGGAAAACTTGTTTTTTATTGTGAATGACTGTTATATAAGGATGCTATTATAAAAAGGTATGGTCGTAGTAAGGATAAATTTGTCTTGAATAAATTAATTTTCTACTTTTACTTTTTGGAAGAAGTTAGAATTTGCAGCTTCTTCTTCAAAAGTAGAAAAACTACTTCCATTACTGCTCAGAGCCGACTCCAACCTTATGATTAGTAAGGCTTGTGCCTTAGGGCCCAAGTTTGAGGGGGAGGGGGGATACTTTTTAAAAATAATAGGTTCATAAGTATTTAAAAAGTAATATTTAGTACTTTTAACACAAAAGTAGAGCTTTTAATAAAAGAAAGAAAACCTTTTAGATATATAAATAAAGTAATAATTTGACTTACTTAAAAATTGGTATATGAATAGTTTTCCCAATCTTCAGATTTCCACTTTTTACTCCATTAAAATTTGCTATCTCTTAATTTGTCCGAGTTAATTTTTTTTTCTCCAATCTCTTCATATTTCATAAAATCCTACATATTTTTTGTCCTTTTCTTTGATATTCTTACTCACCTTCTTTCTCCAAGATTTCATTATTCACCTTTTTTCTCCAAAATTTCACTAGTTAAGTGTTCAACAATACTTTTAAGCTTCCAATAGTTCTATACTTCTATTGCTTTGTAAAATCTTATCTAAGATCAACAATATCTTAAGAAAGATTAAATAAGTTGGTTATATTATCTATCGAGCAACAATTATTAGAGAAAATCGATTATAAAAAAAACTATAAACAACTTTATATTTCAAAAAGTTAGAAGAATAGACTTCGAATAAAAACATATCTTTTAATTTTCTTTTTTAAAAATTTAGGCCTCATATTAAACTTTGACTTTAGGCCTCGTATATGCTTGAGCCGCCCCTGGTGCTACTCAAAACTACTTTTCTGTTTTGGCCAAACACCTCAATTTTTTTTAAAAGTACTTTTTTAACCCAAAAAAATATTTTTTAGCCTCCAAGAAGCTTTGGTCAAACAGGCTTTTACTGCTAGGGATGGACATAGTTTGGACAAACCCGAAATCTAATTTCTTTGGATTTTGAATTTAATTTTTAAAATTTTTTAATTTCGAATTGGGAATTGGATTTGGTACTTTAGATTTTTGGATATCCGAAAATTCAAAATTTTTATACTTTATATTTTGTCCATTATCCAAATGCCAATAGTAATACATTCAATACCCTACCCATTAGATATTATCTCATATTCAATATTAACTACTAAGTTACTATAAGAATACTATCTATTTGGACATGATTTTACTATTGCTACTTTTTACCAGTCGTATTAATGTCTGTTGTATTTTCTTGATAATAATTTTATTACTTAAATTAGATGAATGCGCTGAGAATGAGGAACTTTTCATGCAATTTAACATTAGTACTTCATTTGGATATTCATTTTTGTAAAAGGAAGAAACATCTCCACTTATAAGCTCAAAACCAAAAATTCAAAATATCCAAACCAATTAATCTAAAAATCGAACTTAAAAAATCCAATCCAATCCGAGCTTATTTGGATTGTCATCTTCAATCCGAAAACCAAGAATCCAAACCAAAATTTTCATATCCAATCCGAATTGCCCGAACACCCACCCCTTCTTTCTATGCATACTTCGATCCTTGTGAGTGAAAATGATGGAACTTTTGCCCATGTGGATGGAGCATTCAGGGGATTCTATGTCTGCTGCAGGATAATGCAATCTTTAGACCATGTAAATAAAGTACCAAGAACATTACAAGATTACGTTTGACAAATTCAGTTATTAATTCAATTACTAGCCGTAATGACTATATGTTAATGATAAAAAAGTTGTTGGTCAATAACTTTTTTGACAATCAAGATAAAAATGAACAAAATAATACAATAAACCTTAGGATTTGCATGGGAAGATTTTCGAGTCAATTTTTTCTCTGAAATCCTTCAACAAAATGCTTTCTAGCCAAAACTCCAAGAAATTTCGCTAATACATTTTCTCTACAGAGTGGAGGAACATGATGCTCAACTTCATGCTAGATTTGAGTAATTCTTGTTGAAGGACTCCAATGGAGATACTGAAAAGTCACTATGGATACTATATCATCTGTTCTTCATTACAGTGGAAGTCGGATTTTTTAACTTTTGCTCCCCTAAAGAGAGAGCTTGCAAAATGCTATTCAATGCCTGGCCACCATTACAATCATAATACTGGGAGCACGGGCCTTAGCCCACCTAGTATAGCTATATTTGCCATAATTTCCCCCGCAGAATCTAGAACTTTGGCAGAGCTGAAAATTCGCACCCTCTTGCAATGAATAAATTGCAGAAGGGAATCTATAGTGTATACTTTAAGAGGAAAAGTCTTAAGAAAGTGATAGATACCTATACATGATGCCAAAGCCTGCACGCACTAATCCAAGTGGACAATAAGCACTTGTTTAATATTCTCAACTATATTATCTATTCAATGATCAGTTGTCGAGTGCGCATTAGACTCATTAGCCGCCTTATGTCCAAAATGCTGCCTGCATGAATTTAGCTCCACACAAGAAGGTAGAGGGATGGTAAGTATGTCAGGATAGAGGTTACCTATCTGAGCTTGAGGATACTTGATAGACAAGTTACATGGAGTCTTTCATATTCATGACCTCAATGACGCCAAATATGCAATAACAATTAGCACTAAATTGCTCTGAGCCATCTGAATAACCAAATGAAAAGAACTTCTGTTTTATCATCTGAATGACCAAAAGATAAAGGAACCAAACCAACGATGGCCAACAAGTCATTCGGCAATCCGCAACTAATAAAAGTTGTTACCTCATTTAAGGAATAACCATGCAAGGATCTCCCTCTAGCAGCAGTATCCATGCATAACTAATGAATCTGTTTTTAACTTCATAGAATTGGTGACCCCAGATGAGCAGGGATCAAAACCTCTGAATACGTTAAACCAAAATAGATCATTAAAGAGTTACGGCAATGAAGTTATACCTACCTCGACCCTTCTCTAATTATATTGATGATAGGGAGATGATATAGTCTCAAAAGAGCTGTGAGAACAAAAACAGCTTCACACATGATGACAATGGCACTTACGATTCAAAAGCATACATTCATGAGATTGGTGAGTTA